GTGGGGCAAGGCTTGAGCATGACTTTGCTGGTAAGTGGACAAATTTACTTCTGGTTCAGGTTGCCTGACAATGTTAATAAATTCCTGCCTAGCATTCTCTTGGGAGGAGCCAGGACCTCCTCTCTGAACTTTCCCTTTCTCTTGCCCTTAAAGAAACAAAACATAGCAAAATTTCCCAAAATAAGTGGAAGAAATGATACCATGCTGTATATGAACCTCACTTAATGACATCTGGCTTTAATTTAATATTACAAATAAGTTATTAAACCATGCCAGAAATGAAACATATAGACATTGTTATATGGTTCGTTATTGTAGGGTAGATTAGCAGTTCCCAGACCACACTTTGAGAACATCAGTCTTCACTAACGTGTCAAGAGCATTACTGAAATCTCCCATCTGTTTTCTTAGCTCATGACTTTATCTTGCATGTGCAAATCCTGCATAATACTAGCACAAGATTGCATCGGTTGCAAAACCCAGTAATGATTTGCAGGAAGTAGGTAATATTCTAGAAAGATTTCCTTAGTCTCATAGTTAGGTTAAATATTTTAAATTTAGTTCTTTAAATTTTTATTGTTTTATTCTGGGTAATTTGGAAATAATTAAGATATAGGACGTTAAGAGGCATTTATTAAAATCAGCTACTTGAGAGGCTGAGGTAGGAGAAGTGCCTGAACCCGGGAGGTGGAGGTTGCAGTGAGCCAAGATCGTGCCACTGCACTCCAGCCCGGGCAACAGAGCGACAGTCCATCTCAAAAAAAAAGGAGCATTTATTAAAACCTTGGGACTAAATGATAAGAAATACAGAAGCGCCATCACTTTCACTCTGTTTCAGAGTGCTCTCACAGTCCTGTTCTGCAGGCGCTTTCTCTTTGAGGTTATCTTCTCACAGATGCACACCATGTTTTGACTTTAATCAGTGTAAGTCAGGTTATATAGATGGCATTTGTACTTATTTTCATACCCCTTGGTTTACCTACCTAAGTTAAATTGGATTTAAGATGAAAGGAACTCCTTACAGTGACAGCTTGCGATGTGCAAATGAGTAGAACCCAAATGGCTGCCCTACTGAGGATACCTCCTTCCCTCTTGTCATTGTCCTTTAATTACCAACTGCCTTGAGTTTGGACCCCAAAAAAACTTGGGGTAAATTCCATTGCCAATGGGGAAAGGTTTCTGGTGGAAGTGACATCAAGAATTCCAAGACATGGTGGGGTGTAGGGAGGATTATAAGATTCAAAGAGCATTTCAAGTTATTCATGAAAATGAAGAAGTAAGAAAAGTACAAACCTTTCCTTTTGCAGTCCAGTGTTTGTATGGGAAATACGTAATTGTGGCAAAAAGTCGAGTCCACCTCAGGCTTGATGACTGGGGGTCTCCCTGACACTTGGGGTTTCGGGTCCAATTGTTCCTTTTCTTCTTCATTACACAACTGTTCAGATTTTATCTGCTGCAGTTTTTTATTTTTTTGTTCTTGTGGACTTTCACACTTGGCGTAGTTCCCCAAATTCCGGTTCCTGGGAATCTGCAACATTGAAATAAGCGTTTCTATCTCACAAGTACAGTGCCAGGGGTTGTCATAAAGACGCAGGTAGCTCAAGAGAGGTGTATAAATGAACACTTCCTCCGTCAAGACTTTGATCTGGTTGTGCTGCAGTAAGAGGGTGGTGAGTTTGTTTAAACCAAAGAACGCTTCACTCTCAATTTTAGAGATCTCATTCTGCTGCAGATCCAGGCTTTTCAGCTTTTTAAACTTGGAAAACATGTTGTTCTTCAATATGCGGATCTTGTTTCTTGCTAGCAGCATGTGCAGCAAATCCTGAGGCCAACCAGGCAGCACATAAACTAATTTTCTTTCTTGACAATCTAAGTATTTCTCATGGAGATATGTGTACACGTCACACGGGAGGCTTGGTGCATAGCGTTTGACCGGGTTGGAGCCTCTCCGGCCTCCACCCGCCCGGCCATGATTCACTCGGCTTCTCACAGTGCTTGAGCTTGCTTTGCGCAGCTCAGCAGCTTTGCAAAAGCAGAGCAAGATTACAATGGTAACCACACGCATCCTGACATCCAGCTGGCCCCAATTACTTCGTGTTACAGACGGAACAATGAAAGTATTCCTTTGAAATCCAAGTTTGGGTAATCTTAACTAATGCAGTTCTGGAACAATGAGACCCAGCTGGGGTATGTGGAGTCCCTAGGTTGAAAGAGAAAAAAAATATATATTAAAAGTTAAGGCCCATTGCAAGCACTGTATTACTGACAGATAAGAACAGACTTTTTAAGGCAAAGGCCTTCTAGTTCCACAGAACAGTGACATAGAAAGCTTCTTCCCCTCTTAGTTGTCTGGGTTAGAGGCTGAATGTTTATGCCCTGAGTTTGAATCAAGGCTCTCTTACCTGCTTAAGTATATCAACCCAGGTCATCTTCAGCATCTGTAAAACGGGACCAAGGGTACCTCCTAATATTGTTGGGAGGATAAAATAGGCTCATGCGCAAAAGATGCTTCACAGTGGCCACCCCGGGGGAAGTAGTCACAAATGTTAGGACTCAGCATGATTGAAACTGAAGCCTGTGGTTCATCATCACATCGGATTTAAGAAATTAAAAGAATTCTCCTTCTTTTAAAAGAACACAGCCTTGAGATGCACACACAAGGGTAGGACTTGAATGGTTGTCTTCCTGAGCTTTTTTTTTTTTTTTTTTTTTCCTCCTATCCTTTTTGGTCTCCCAGTCACCAACCATGTTGGGTGTGGGCTCCAGAGATGCTTGGAGTAAATGGCACTGTCCTTGTTATCTGCTGCACGTCTTGGCTCAAATGTTACCTTTTCAGTGAAAACTTCCTGTTCAGCCCTATTTTAAATCACACTTCCTCCCACTTGTTGGGTGCTCCCAATCCCTTTTCTTGTTTTATTTCTTCTCCATAGCACTTATCACCATCTGTCAAAGTAGATATGGTATTTAACTTCTTTTGTTTACTGTTAGTCTCTCCCCACTAGAAAGTAAACTCCTTAAGGGAAAATATTTTTGTCTATTTTGTTAACTGCTATATTTCCTTGTTAAGTATTTGTTGAACTGATGAATTACTCTCAAATAACTATTCTGACCGGGTGCGGTGGCTCATGCCTGCAATCCCAGCACTTTGGGAGGCTGAGGCAGGCAGATCTCTTGAGCCCAGGAGACCAGTCTGAGCAGCATGGGGAAACCCCGTCTCTACAAAAAATACAAAAATTAGCCAGGCATGGTGGTATGCACCTGTAGTGTCAGCTGCTTGGGGATGGGAGTGGGGGTTGCTGAAGTGGAAGGATCGCCTGAGCCTGGGAGGTTGAGGCTGCAGTGAGCCAACATGGTGCCACTTGCACTCTAGTGTGGGTGACAGAGTGAGATCCTGTCTCAAATAAATGAAACAAACAAACAGAATAACTACTGTATTCTGTAAGAACATTTATTTTGTAAACTTATATTGCTTGGGAAATCTATTTTCTCCTTATTAAATATTATTGAGGACTTCCAGGATGTGCAGATTTTTAACAATTGTTTTCACTTTTTAAAATTCTGAAAGTATTTCTGGTTTGCATATATCACTTAGGATGCAGTCCATTCTTGGCAAAGGAAGAAATGTTCAAAATGGATTTATAACTACTAACATGTCTATTGTTACTAGCGTGGGGCTGTGTGGTTATGAGCAGCAAATGTGTTTTCTATTCGTTGTGACAGTTTGAACACCAGAATCGCCCTCTTGCCTGGAGTTTTCCTGTTTCATGGGGTCTCCACCTAGAATGCCTTCCCTTTTCTTTGCTTCAAGCATTCCTCCCAGTCACTGGTTTGTGTAGCCTCCCTAGTTGCTTCTCTTCTGTCTCAGATTTGGAGTTTTACTTACTGTCCACTGAGATGCAGGGCACTGGTTGTGAAGCACTTTACCATCTAACTGTTTGTATACATGTCTCATTTTCCCCGAGAGATTATAAGCTGTGCACTGGCCTCTGGTCCCAGAGCTAGTCAGTTAGACTTTCTGACCTTCCACTTGTCTATTTACAATTCATTATAAATTTTATATAAGTCTGACCTAAACAAAATCATGTCAACTATTCTGTTTATTATTACATATGCTGAATTATTTATGATATACATGTTGAAGTATTTGGGGTAAGTGTACTAGTGTCTGCAACTTACTTTGAAATGCATACAAAAATAAGATGATTAAGGGATGTATAGAGAGATGAATGAGTGGGTGGATATATGATAAAGCAAATACAGTAAAAAATAGAATCCAAGCAGTGGCTATATAGATTATTTATTGTACAATTCTTTCCACTTTTGTATATGTTTGAAAATTTTCATAATAAAATGTTAAATGAAAACAAAAAAATAAAAAAGCAGGCACAAAAAATCAGATTGGTTTTCTTCAAGTGCTTTCAAGCTAAAAGCTCTGAGTATATAGTGTTTTTCCCACAGTAATATTTTTCTCTTTTCCCCTTACTCCTATAATCCTCAAACAATAATAAACATGTCTATATATTTTAATTCTGAAGCCCAAAAAAGTCATTTTTCTCGGAAAAGAAACCATATACTTAGAACATGTTACTTGCCAAGGTTTTTGTTTGTTTTCTAATGAATACACTGCATTCAATGTAGGATAGAAAAACTCTGTTTAAACATTTGCAATATGTAGTTTAGTGATGTATAACTTATTTCCTTCAGGCCACTGTAGGAACTTGCAAGAGCTGAATGTCTCTGACTGCCCAACATTCACAGTGAGTATAAGCAACCATTTTTACTGCTGTTTATATAGATTGACTTGCTACATTGGAGTGCCAATATGCAGAATAGATGCTTGTGTGCTTATTTGGGATTCAATGTGGAAAACAGCAAACTATGTTAAACATTGACAAGAAATTTTACTCCATCTGTACAATGCTAATGTTAATCACGTAGATGTATGCTCAGTGTTGGAGCCTCTGGAAAGTAGAAATTTTTCAATGACTACCCAAAGTGAACTGTATTTATATTTAATGGTATGTGTGTATGAGACAGAAAAAAATTGGGCCCCAGTAGACATGATAGGCTCATTTTATCTTCATGGCTATCAATAGCTGTACCAAAGAAGATGGAAATGAATATGTATCCCTAGTTGCCTTCTTCCTGGTTCCTGTCTCCAGTCTTTCCCTCTGTCCCCAACCTGTCTTCCATTCTGTGAGCACTTTATACTCTTTGTAAAAGGTGGATATGACTACTTCACTCTCATCATTCATCAGCTATACACACTCCCATCATCTACACAACTGGATAAAGCCAATGCCCTTAATATTACTCTACCTTGAAGACCCTCTGTGGTTTTGCCTCTGCCTCCCTTTCCAGCCTCACTTGCTTCAGTTTCTGTGTACACACTAATTTGCAGTGCCTATAGCCACTGAGTTTCCTCTGCTGCATGCTCCAAGTTGCTCCTTGCAGTTGTGCATTTGCTGTTTGCTTAGAATGCCCTTTCCCTTTGTCCCCAAGTGGTGCTTTCCTCTTTATCAGGCTTTAAGGCTTATTACCACCTCTTCTACCAAGACATCACTGGTTCCCAGGACTGGGGTCACTGCTGTTCCTCTAGGTTCCTATGATAAGTATCCTTAACCGTAGGGTTTCAGCTTCTTCCACTAGCCTAAGAGACCCCAAGGGTAGGAGATGTGTCTTATTATTTGTGGTAGTCATGGCACAACAGCACAAACTTTGGCATATCATATTCAATAATATTTAGTGAATGCAACCATCTGGAGATACCAAGTAGGCAATGGACAACATTGACTAGAATTGAGATCCCACCTTGGGTTGACATCTATGTATAAGTCATAATTAACATCATAAGAGTGAATAAGATCAATTTAGAAGGTATGAGAAGAGGAGAAGACTTAAAGTTGAGCCTTACGGAATGCTGACTTTTAGGAGCAGACAGAGGATATTCAGAAGGAATAGTAAGAGAAGTAGGTTGACAATGAAGAGGTATCACACAATGAAAGTGAGTAAAGAGTTTCAGAAAGAACCAAAGTGAACAGGTAAGAAAAGGACTGAACAATGCATTGTAGATTTGAGAATCAGAAGGGACTGCCAATTTTTGCTACAACAGTTTCATTGGGATATTGGAGCAGAAATGTACTTGCAATGAATTGTGAAGTGGACAAGAGGTGAGAAGGTGAGGCATTAGGCATAAACTGATCTTTCCAGAAAAGTGTCTTAGAGAGTGGTAGAAGGAAAACAGGGACAGGGAAATGGAAATAGGTTTATAGAGGATGATGGAGAGTCAGCTGAAGCAACTCACGGAGCAAGTCCCTAAGGAGACAGGAGGTAATAGGAGGAAACGCCTGGCTGTGGAATGCCAGTCACGGGGCACCAGCTCCATCATGAAGGCCAAGCCCTCCTCGCTGGTGAAAAGACTGCATGAATTGGCCCCTTCCTGCTACCTCTCAGCCTCACTTTTACAGCCTCATCTTTCTAGTTTTTTCTTTCACATTTCTACTCTGTTTCAATACTGAACCACTTGGAAGTTCCCTGTTCATGTCATGCTATTTCATTGTGTCCTTGAACGTGTTTTTCCATCTGCCTAAATGACTACCCTTCCTTCCCCACCACCCCTATCCCAACCTGGCTAACACCTGTTCATTCTTTAACACACTCTTCAACTCTACTGAGTCTTCCCATTCTCTTTTTTTATTGACCTTTAAAAAGCAGCTTTATTGAGATATAATAAATTTATATTTATATTGAGATTAAATTTACCCACTTAAAGTGTACAATTTCATGGTTTTGTATTTTTACAGAGTTGTGTGACCATCACCACAACCAACTTCAGAACATTTCCCTCACCCCTAAAAGAACTCATGCCCATTAACAGTCACCCTTCATTTTCTCTCAACCCCCAACCCTATGCAGTTCTATTCACTTTTTGACAGTTAATTTCTAATATAATTTTATTATTATTATTTTTTTGAGATGGAGTCTTGCTCTGTAGTCCAGGCTGGAGTGCAGTGGCGCCATCTTGGCTCACTACAACCACCACCTCCCGGGTTCAAGTGATTCTCCTGCCTCAGCCACCCAAGTAGATGGGATTACAGGCACGTGCCACTGCACCTGGCTAATTTTTGTATTTTTTTTTTTTTTTGTAGAGATGGGGTTTCACCATGTTGGCCAGGCTGGTGTCGAACTCCTGAGCTCAAGTGATCCACCCGCCTCGGCCTCCCAAAGTGCTGGGATTACAGGCGTGAGACACTGTGCCCAGCTGACAGAATTAATTTCTCTCTCTCCTGAGCTACATATGGTCTCAGTACTTCAACACAGATACTTCACACTGTGTATAACACTTACGTTTACATATATGTCTCCTGTTTTAGAACTGAGCACTTTGAAAATCCTCCTTTAGTAATTTTTCCCCATGAAATCCATCCCCCTAATTTCCACAGTAAAACATCTTTTCAAAACATGGAAGGCATTATACACAAATAGAATGTGTACAGAAAAATGTTAAGACCCTCAGAACTCCTCCACTCCTTGCCTCAATACACAGATTCAGCATTTAAATTAGTTGTTTAATCCCTGACCAGCAGAACGTAAAGAACCACCCATAAAGAAACTAAGCATCTTCTCAGTGGCTTGTACTTTAATACAAATAAGCTGTTTCTTTATGTTCAAAAGTGCCCTTGAGGGTCATCCACAAGAAATGGAGGCATAGACAGACATGTCAAAGATCATATCAGAGAAAAAATGTTCTACTTTCTCTGGTTGCACTCTTTTTCCACTAGCAAAGTGAACGTGGGCTCCTTCATGAAGAAAGATTTTAAATCTTGACTACTACATTCTCCAGATGTCTGCCTGTGGTTATAATGAAGTTGTTTGTCAAATGGATTTACTCTTTCTGTGGATGTTTTAGCACCTACTATGTTAAATATGTTCTGCTAGGTATTGGAGGGAATTAAAAAATGAATCATTTTTCAGTTCTTGTCCTCAGGGAGCTTCAGTTCTGTACTTGAGTAAAATATCAGATTCTTTGAGTTTGGCCCTCTAATAGGGAAGTTAAAACAATGCCATCTGCATTGAATTTGTGAACATCAAAGTCTTGTCCAATTTTGGAGTCTAATATTATACAGGGCCGATAATTTTATCCAGCTACATTTTACTATTGTTTTTCCCTTTGAGACGTAGACTGGGACACAGGCTTACATTTACGGAGTTGGGTAACATTCATTCAAAGAGCTTTGATTTCTAAGCTTGTCTTATGAAATATATTACATTCAGAAGGATTTGAGTACATTGAGGACAAATTCATAAGCCATTCTGCAATGTAGGTACTCAGTTTTTGCATTTGTGTGTTCAAACATTTGGGGATTAAATCCTGAGTTCTTTTAAGTACTAAGAATGGGAGTGGTCTAAATTTGTTTGGATGTTCAAGGTTTTTCAGACGGGAAAATGTAGAGAATGCATTACCTCCTCATCTCAGTCTGAGAATGGGAGTGGTCTAATTTTGTTTGGATGTCCAAGCTTCTTTAGACAGGAAAATGTAGAGAATGGATTGCCTCCTCATCTCAAACAGAAAGTCAGATTTCTTTGTGGTACATAAAGCTACTCCATCTTCCTCTTCCTGATCCCCACATTTTCATCTTCTTTGGGGCTGCCTCTCTGAGGGTGTTTAAGCCAGCTCTTTCTCCTCTCCTTGCCTCATCTCATTTGCATTTTGCCAAGGTCTTTCAACATGTGTATAATCACTTTGATACTTGATTGGCATGCCGAACGTTTCCAAAGACAGATTTTCTTTGTATTAAAATACAGTGCCACACATTATGGTTATTCTCTCGATTCTTTTTGGAAAAAATTGTACTATACACATTTTGTGTATCCACACCTATTCAAATCCTTCATTTTGGTGATGAGGGCATCTAGAAAAAATGCTGACAGCTTGAATACTATAGTTAAGACTAGTGTTTATCAAAAGCTCTGCACTGGCCTCTCATGCAGCATGGGTGCATAGAACCTTTCCTATAGCAGAATCACATAGATTTACAGCTTTCAAATAGAATCTTGTGTTCTCTTTAAGGCATGGTTTGCTGCCGCTGTAAATCAACCAATTCCTTCCTATCTGAGTGTGATGGATGCTCTGACCTGCAGGATTTTATTATTTTAAAAATCCATGACTACTGGAAATAGTAATGAATGGAATGTTAAACCTCAATGATCCTGCTGAAAATAAACCTTTACTATCTTTAGTGGTGTTAGGAGTGGCCATATTTCTGATACAGAATTCTTCTCAGAACCACATCTTCTAGCCTAGTGATGATTTAAATCTCTTCCAGATAGATAGATGCAACAGTCTATTCTTTTCGGGACTGAGGTAGTGTCAAACATTGCATACACCACTAATACTTAAACTGGGTGCCCTGTTGATGTTCCTGGGGAGATTCATCAATCATTAAATAGAAACCTGTTGCTACTCATTGTATTTTCTATAGTGTTACCTGTACAAAAAGCAGCTTGTTGCAATCAATGCTTGAAATTCATCTGGTCTTGTAAATTTCATTGTAGGATCTGTGTTTGAAACCTCTGTTTTTCTCTCTCTCTTATTTCATGGTCACAGTACTTACTCTCTTACTTCAGTTTTCAGCTTTCTGAGGGAAGGGTGCTTGAATCTTTGAGATCCTCTCCCACCCTAACCCCAACATTGAATCTCCTGCCCAACTGGTATGTAGCCTATATTTTATTTTAGCCGTCTCAAACTTACCATAAATCTGTTGAAAATCTGTTCAGCTATTTAAAATATTTAATTAACAGAACCACAGAAGCTTAATTACACGCACACACATCTATGTCTAAATGTATATGTGTATAAATATGGACTGTTACTGAAGTTCCACTGTTGAGAGTGTTTACTATTCCTGTCTTTCAGAATAATTTTAATAAGTTTAAAATGGATGAGTTTTTAATTGCTTTCCTGCATAGGAAGAGTCAGAAGTGTTTGACACTTTGACATTTGAGCTCAAATTTCTTGTGACAGAGTTGAACTTGCATGGGTTCACATTTTGATGAAGTGTCATTGTGATGGAATGAGACTTGATTTCCAAGGAAAGGGAAAAGGAGGGAGTAATGATGCTTTGAGCAAAAGCATTGGCTTCTATTTAATTTCATTTCAACCTAATAGCCGATAAAGAATATGAAGAAAGCAACTCTTCCATGTATTTTTTTCTGAAACAGGAAGAGGGATAATAGAAAGATAATAGGGAAATTGCAAAGCCTGATATAATTTGATAAGCGTCTCCCCTCTGTTTTTCATGCAGGATGAATCAATGAGACACATTTCTGAGGGCTGCCCGGGGGTCCTGTATCTCAATCTGTCTAACACAACTATCACCAACAGGACGATGCGACTCCTGCCGAGGTAATGTTGGTGTTATTTGTATGACACTGAAAATAATTATGCTCCCAAAGTCTCTGGCTTGTTCTAGCATTCTACAAAGGCAGTGCTCCCTTTATCAACACCCCACCACTGTGGCACTGCTACTCTTATAAGGGGAGTGCTGCTTTCAAGTCCCTAAGCTAGTGCCTAAACTGGTCTGCCTTGACTAGCATTTTTGTCACTCTTACAGCAGTGTGCCCAGTAGCTTGAGTTACACCTTGCCTGTTTCTTTCTGGTCCCCTATCCTGGGCATTTGAGCTCTCTGACTCTTACATTCCAGTCTGGTGTCTGGGACCTTTTTTTTTTTTTTTGAGACAGAGTCTTGCTCTGTCGCCCAGGCTGGAGTGCAGTGGCATGATCTCAGCTCATGGCAACCTCCGCCTCCTGGGTTCAAGCAATTCTGCTGCCTCAGCCTCCCAAGTAGTTGGGATTACAGGTGCCCACCACCACGCCTGGCTCATTTTTGTATTTTTAGTAGAGGCGGGGTTTCTCCATGTTGGTCAGGCTGGTCTCAAACTCCTGACTTCGGGTGATCCACCCGCCTGGGCCTCCCAAAGTGCTGGAATTACAGGCGTGAGCCACCGCACCCAGCGGACCTCTTTATAATAGAATGCCAACATCCTGATTACCAGACTTTGAACACATTTGTCCCAGATCCCTGTTCCCATGCTCTGGCTACCTGTTGAGATTCCCACCACCTCCAAGGAGCTTGACACTGGTTGTTTTTTACTGTTTATGGAGTGTTGACAACATTGGACATGAATATTGCTTCTCTTTTTTGGAGGAGAAGGGACAGAATAACTAAAAAGTTGACAGAATATTCAAATTCATCAAAAATTTTTCTTTTTAGTTTGTTTTCAAACAGGGTCTTACTCTGTCACCCAGGCTGCAGTGCAGTGGCACAATCATGGCTCACGGCAGCCTCAGTCTCCTGGGTTCAAACAATTCTCCAACCTCAGCCTCCTGAGTAGCTGGGACTACAGGAGCATGCCACCATGCCCATCTAGTTTTTGTATTTTTCTGTAGAGATGGGGTTTCACCATGTTGCCCAGGCTGGTCTCAAACTCCTGGGCTCAAGTGATCTGCCCACTTGGGCCTCCCAAAGTGCTGGCATGAGCCGCCTATGCCTGGCCCAATTATTCTTTATTTTCATTATAATAAGGCCAGTCAGGAAGGAGGGTATATGATCACACTAGGAGAGATTCAAATTTGACTTTGGGAAAACATTTCTCAAACTATTGTGAAAGAATGAACTATTTTTGAGAACATAGCTTTTTAAAGTTCCTTTGAAAAATAACAGTGATGAGACATTTAGAAAAGCTTGCACAGAAAATTCTGGGTGATAATTTTCTTTATCTTCTGACTCTAACCATTTTCTGCAAATGTGCCAGCTTAAGGAGTGGCACCATATTTTCTATTTATCCCACTAATTAAGCTGCCACAGTTTTTTAGTCAAATCTATAAAGCTTTCCCTTTGAAATTTCTTCTGACGCTCTTAAACATAGAGAGTCTTCCTCCTGTCAGGCATTTAATATACATTTGCTTATTTTTCTGTGTTCATGTATTTTTACTTAAATATATAATCAATCTGTAATTAATCTTGGTAGATGAATGAAGCGATGATCTAAATCAGGGGTCAGCAAACTACAACCCATGTGGCCCAAGGCCTAGTTTTTTGCAGTATATAAGCTAAGCATAGTTTTACTTCTTTTTTTTTGAGACGGAGTTTTGCTCTTGTTGCCCAGGCTGGAGTGCAATGGCGCGATCTCAGCTCACCACAACATTTGCCTCCCGGGTTCAAGCGATTCTCCTGCCTCAGCCTCCCAAGTAGCTAGGATTACAGGCACGTGCCACCATACGCGGCTAATTTTGTATTTTTAGTAGAGAGGGGTTTCTCTATGTTGGTCAGGCTGGCCTCAAACTCCTGACCTCAGGTGATCCGCCCTCCTCAGCCTCCCAACGTGCTGGAATTACAGGCATGAGCCACTGCGCCCAGCCTAGTTTTACATTTTAAATGTTGTTAAATAAGTAACCAATTATTTCAGCATCATTTGTTGAATAAAGTTTTTATTAAGTGATGTGTGATTCTTTCTTACATATCTAAAATTCTTTCTATTTATTTATTCTTTTTGAGATGGAGTCTTGCTCTGTCGCCCAGACTGGAGTATAGTGGCACAATCTTGGCTCACTGCAACCTCTGCCTCCCAGGTTCAAAGAGATTCTCCTGCCTCAGCCTCCCGAGTAGCTGGGATTACAGGCGCCCACCACCATGGCTGGCTAATTTTTTTGTATTTTTAGTAGAGACGGGGTTTCACTATATTGGTCAGGCTGGTCTTGAACTCCTGACCTCATGATCCACCTACCTCAGCCTCTCAAAGTGCTGGGATTACAGGGATGAGCCACTGCGCCCAGCCCTAAAATTCTTATACAGGCAAGAAATACTTAAAACTCATTACTTTCTAATATTTTTCTGCATGTTACTTTACCTGTGTTCTTGTAGTTATTTATGTCCATTGTATCTCTACGGTGAAAATACTACAGAATGGAGTGCTACTGCACATTTCTTCCCAATTCCGTGTTTGGTGACCTCTCACTGATAGCTTGGAATTGGCCAATATGGAAGTATTCTATACCATGGAAAACATCAAACACTACAAATCAGGGCTTGATTTATTGTTCAGTTGATTGTTTAGACTTAAAGTGATAGAGAACACAATTAATGAAGCAAATTAAATTTAAAAGTAGGTCATGTCTGTAGCCACAACATTGTGAAATAGCACAAAATATTGAGGAAATATTCTCTCAATACTTGAAAACTATTCTTTGATTTAGCAAAGAAGGCACTCACATCATTAACAAGCAGATTTTGGACATACCTCTTTGACATATATCACTTGTGTCTTATTAATGTTAATAGCATAATTCATATTGGAACTGTAATCATTCTTCAAGTTCAACCATTGGTTGGCTGGCTACATTTATAAGAGTTTCATTGACAAAAGTCAATGAAAACATTGTGTGAGAATTGATTGACTAAGTGGAATTAACAGTAAAGAATATTGTATATTTTATCATTTGTAAGTTGCATGCTACACATCCTTTATATATGCAAAATAGTAAAATATAAAATTTAATGCACATACATTTATATGCGTACTTTTTTTGGAAAGCCAGTTGTTAGATACTTATCAGTAAACCAATAATTAAACTAGGAGCTAATTTATATTTTTGCATTTGCATGATTTGATTTCTCTCCTTTTAAAAGTTAAAAAAAAATACGGTCATGAAATGACTTCTAAATAAGAATTTGGGAAAAGTTTGTGTAATTTGATAAGTATTGTTTTAGCTTTCTAAACCAATTGTTCTATATTTGCTTTCCTCTTTCACTCAGTAATGTTTATTTATTTATTTATTAAAAAAAATTTTTTTTTTTGAGACAGAGTCTTCCTCTATAGCCCAGGCTGGAATGCAGCAGCATGTCCTCAGCTCACTGCAACCTCTGCCTTGTGGGCTCAAGCAGGTCTCCTGCCTCAGCCTCCCAAGTAACTGGGATTACAGGCATGTGCCACCACACCCCGCTAATTTTTGAATTTTAGTAGAGACGAAGTTTCATCATGTTGGCCAGGCTGGTCTCAAACTCTTGACCTCAAGTGATCCACCCGCCTTGGCCTCCCAAAGTGCTGGGATTACAGGCGGGAGCCACCATGCCTGGCCTTCACCCAGTATTATTTAGAGCAAAATTTTTGGTTCTAAGTAGTTGAAGTTTCTTCAGTTGAGCTTCTGCTTTTAATTAGGCACTCTGGTCAAGAAATGTGGACTGAATTATTTCTACTTTTTGGAATTTATTGAGATTTCTTGGTATACTAGTTTATAATTAATTTCCAAAAGTCATCCATGGATACTTAAAACAGAGCTTCTTTTATTTTTTATTTTTATTTTTTTTGAGATGGAATCTTGCTCTGTCACCCAGGCTGGAGTGCAGTGGTACTATCTCAGTTCACTGTAGCCTCCGCCTCCTGGGTTCAAACGATTTTCCTGCCTCAGCCTCCCAAGTAGCTGGGACTACAGGCACGTACCACAACACCGGGCTAATTTTTGTATTTTTTAGTAGAGACAGGGTTTCATCGCATTGGCCAGGCTGGTCTCAAACTCCTGACCTCAGGTGATCCACCCACTTCAGCCTCCCAAAGTGCTGGGATTATAGGCAGGAGCCACTGTGCCCGGTCCAGAGTTTCTTATAGAGAACAAAATTTCTGGGTGTATATACATATAAATTCTTGATATGTTATTATAATAGTGATATATTAGTTGCCTATTATGATCAAGCTTCTCTTTATTTTGATGTTATTTTACAACTTTATTAACAAAGGTTAATAAGCATCATGTTTCATTACAGATTATAGCATTTATTCACATGAAGTGATATTCTTTATGCTGGTTGATGTTTCTTTGCCTTGAATTCATTTTGTTTTGTTTTGTTTTGAGACGGAGTCTCGCCCTGTCACCCAGGCTGGAGTGCAATGAAGTGATCTCAGCTTACTGCAACCTCTCCCTCTGGGTTCAAACGATTCTCCTGCCTCAGCCTCCCGAGTAGCTGGGATTACAGGTGCCTGCCACCACTCCAGGCTAATTTTTGTATTTTTAGTAGCAACAGGGTTTCACCATGTTGGCCAGGCCAGTCTTGAACTCCTGACCTCGTGATCTGCCCGCCTCAGCCTCCCAAAGTGCTGGGATTACAGGTGTGAGCCACCATGCCCGGCCTGAAGTTTTTAACTGCTGTCAACATAGTTACCTTTGTTTTCTTTTGCTTGTTCTTTTTGTGGAATAACTACATTTCTCTGTATTTTTAACCTTTGTGATGCAGGATTTTAGGTTTATCTTTTATATGTAGCACGTAGCTAACTTCTATTTTTAAATTCATTCTCTTTGCCTTTTTAAGACAGCAGTTTAAAAGATCAATGTTTATTGTCAAAATTGAGTGT